AGACAAACTATTTTTAAAACTAAAAATCCCTTTTTTTTTCTTTTTTTTTAAGATGTCTATGAATATGGAGGACGAGATTAAGGAGTTGAGGGTTTTCCAGCATATAAATAACCTTCTCTAGTGAGTTTTTAGGTGCACCTAACTTATACAGTATAAGGTTGCACCTTACATGAACCTTTTCCAATATATATAATCCCGCTTTTGAATGACTCTAGTCGTGGGTTGCAGTGAGGCGTCGGCACGAGGTAGAAACGGCAAATTTGTTATTTTTCAACTAAATAGGGGCAAACATGAAAACCAAAGGAGTGTGGGATCATTATGTTTCTTCCTCTCTTCCCAACATCACAATCGATGCCACCACCACCCGCCACGTGACGCGACTGGGATCGCTCTCAGCCGTACGATCCCATCGTACCGCATGAGAGGGGACGGCTCGTCCCCGCTGTCTCGCACGTGCTGAAGATCCGGTCTATCCTCCTCGCACACGCGAATGCCACGTAGCGCCCTCGCCTTCCCTTCAACGGTCAATGGCCCCCTAAATAATTTGAATTTGAGGAGGAGAGGGGTTTCCTCACGAGAAGGGCAGAGAGAAAGGGTACAATTCCTAAACTGTCCCTTCGATCCTAATGGGCCTGGGCCCCACTCCTGTACCATCTGTCGGGCGCTTACCTGGACGCAACAAATCGGGAAGATAAAAAGGAAACGTACGAAACTACCCCCCTTTCTGTGAAATGCCATCAATATCCCGACAGTATCTTATTAACCTTTTCGTTCAAGAAAAGCAGGGCTAAGCACAGGGATAATCAAGGATTACAGGGGAAAATTTAGTCATAACCTCGCAAATACTGGCAGTAAACGACAAGGGTAACAAGGGAATGGCATTAAATCATTATGTTCGGGCAGGAACCGTAATTAGACACGGTGTTACGTCGCTTTCAAGGGGCTGTTCCGGTAAATTCGTGAACGCAATCGAGAAACAATTTCCCGTTTAATAATAATGTTTCTGTGAGGCGGCCGACTCATATGTACATATACGGCCTCCCACCAAAATTATTTTAAAATGATTTGTTTTTTTTTTTTGGGATAGATTCATCGTACAGGCCGGTCATAAATATGAAAAGAAAATAATTTTTTTAATATTTTTATGCGCTGTCCATATCTAATTTATAGACAATAACCTTTCTAGATAACGTCCATCTTTTGGATGAATGTTCTTAAGTCAGCGGGCTCTTGTGCCCCGGACTCACAAAACAATCTTCCTTAAAATATCAGAAAAAAACAATAAAAAAATAATAATAAGAATGAAGGGGACAGAATATATTTTTATTCAATAAAAAATTTGGAGTAAAAATGGAAAATATTTGTTCGTGGGAAAGAGAAACGCTTATGAGTTGCTTTCCATGCAGAGTGCAGAGGGAAGGAGGGGGTCCAGTGGAATAATTGAGATATAATTACAGTGGATGGGTGGGCTCTTAACAACAACCCATCATCGCCCTTTTTATATTGTTTTGGTTTTTTTCTTTTGGAGTTTTCTGAACTTTTTTATTTGACATACGAATTTTTCATTTATTTCACTCACAGATTTGTGTTTCCTTATACAAACCTCATCCTTTTCTCACGAGTTGGCATGTTCAGAGTGGCTCCTTTAGCCCCTGCCCTGTGCCATGCCAGCCAAGGTTTTGATAGAGATTTGCATCACCATGAATCTTTCTTACAATCACAACAGCGATTTCCATCACTAAAGCGGCTCGCGAATGCACCTACTCGGCCCGGCCCTAAAAGGCCCCGCCTGGGCCACATAAACTGTGTAACTCAAGGCGGGGCTAAGCCCTAAACCCAGCATATGCTTGCTTCGGCTTAATCCCGCCCGCTCTTTTTTTTCTTCTTTCATTTCTATTTCATTTGTTTTTGGCCCACCCTATACTGAATAAGGCCTATCATGACCATAATTAGGAAGTCGGAGAATAATAATATATCGGCAAATCAAAACATTGTTGATGAATCAATTTTATTTTAAAAAGTCAAAGGCAAAAATTGGGTTAAACCTACATATCGTTAAAAAATAAATTAAGGTATAGAATCATGAATATTTGGGATTTTTTCAAAAAATAAAAAGTTAAAAAGTCGGTTACAAATAGACCATTTATCTTTTGTATATAGATGTCACAATCATTCTTGTCCATTAAACTTCAAAATGGGTGGTTGTAAGAGTGTCATTAAATAAACATAAAATTCTAAAGAAAAATTTCAAACTATGTGACCCACCCCGACTCATCCAATTTATGTAATGAGTGAGAAAGATTGTAACCTCCATGTACCAAATAGAAATGGTCTACCAAATCATCCAATTTATCTAATGAGTGAGAAAGATTGTGACCTTTATGTACCAAAGAGAAACGGTACAGTCCAATATGAAATTATGATTTGTAGTGGGATTGTATACAAGGAAACCATTTACCTTTAGTATAGAGAGGTTATGATTACTTACCATCACCCGATGTAAAATCTAATCACTTGGGTTTGTTATAAAGTTCGAGAAAATTTCTTCTGAATTTTGATCCTGGTCAATGAAACAAATGCCGCCATTAATTGTGACTACATTGTACCAAAGGTAAATAGTCTCATTATATACTTTCTCTTATTGCATATACATTATGTATATAGCCAATGAAAATTAATTTTATGTCCTTACCAAGTGTCATTAGAGTATACTTAACAAATTTTTGTCTAAACTTAGTTGTCACAAAAAAATATATATTATAGATTTATTGAGAATATAAAATGAAAAAAAAAAAACAAACTAAGCAGAAGAACTACATTAAAAAAAAAAACAAGGACCGTAGACGAAGGTATATGATTATTTTTAAAAAACAAAGTAAAAAAGACTTAGTATAAAATCTCAGTTAACTAAAACAAAAATAAATACCTAAATATATAAAATAGTGGTTCATCCAAAATGCAATGTCGTATACACTAGAAAAATAAAAATATAAATTTATCAAACATCTCTATGCATAAAGAAAACAACAAAATACTCAAGTAAAATTAAATCTCACACAAAATTCCTAGCGAACGAAATATTTAGTATCATTGAATCTCTCTTGCTCTTTATGAGAACACTTTGGGTTTAAAGAAAATAAATTTTTTTTATTAAGTTGCTCTTCTTCTAACTCTACCTACTATTTAGAGGGAAAAAGTTTATATAAGTGCAAAGCTCTAAACAATTAAATTAGGGAACACCACAAAATTTTCACTAGGAGAGACTGTTTTGATGCCCTAATATCTTCAAATTGATCATCTCGACCTCAAGATGTATGGAGATGAAATAAATAGATTTCAAATTTTGGAAATTGTACATCTTGTAATACATTTTTGGACTGTCAACTTTTTTAAAAGCTTTAAATTTTATAATTTGAGATGAAAGCATATTTTAACGCTATCACAAAGATTTTTAGTGTTGAAACCACATTTCTTAATACTATTTGAAAGTGGCTTTACTTTGATTGTTTATAGCCTCATCTTTATACAAACCACACCCTAAAATGAAATAACTGAATGCGGTTTCTAGGAGGTTGCAACCTTAAACAATCCAATTAATGTGCACCTTAAAATTTTATCATAATATGTAATTTTGTTGTAAAAAATTCCTAGTATTATCTTAAAATCTATTTTCATACCTAGTTAGAAAATTTTAAATTTCAAAAATAGTTAAAATTAAGTAGATCTATAAATAT